AAAGTTGTTTTCCAAATAACGCCTCGCATTATCTGACAAAGAGTGGTAACACTGATTCATCAAAGTAGAAGTACTGAAGAAATGCTGGAGACCTATGTGAAACACCTTAACTTATGGAGAAAAAGGATAATCGAAGTGAAGGCTAAATTTATTTTCCTGTTTTATTTTTCCACAGCCGTTCATGTCCAATTTGCCGCCATCCGCTGTTTAGTCAACCTCAAAATAGTCCTCAGTAAATGGAACAAGTCGATAACATTTTTTTGTGATGATTTAAAGAAGCAAGAAGACAATTAAGATAAACAAAAAGAAGTGGCAATACAGAAGAAGAAAGAAAATTATTCAAAACCCGTGATATTAAATTTTTAGCTTTGCACGATGTTTCAACTCGACCTTTTACAAAAAATTAAAGGAAAAAAAAAATACAAGTATCTATCTTGTATTTACGATGTTAGATAGCTGCGGCAGTATTCAATTAAGTGCAGAGTTTTCGTTGAGAGAAGCAAACGATTTATGCCTCGTTTTCAAAGAAACAGAAGAATGATAAAAAAAAATGTTGGGATGCTAGAACTTTAAATATTTTGAAATACACTCTTTACAAAATCCAATATCTTTCCATAGAAACGAAAGTCGCAGTCGCATGATTTACATAGATTCGACATCCCTCAAACTCGACCTTTTCTTTCTCTATGAATTGTTGCTTTAAGGTCTCTGTACTCGCATTTAATTAAATGTGAGTACAGAGAAAAAAATAATGGAACATCGCACTGCCTTGCACAATTAACTTTCATCAGCCTTTTGGATTTTAAATACTAGATAGTCCTAGATGGAGACAACGGAGTCAAATACTAGTTATAGTTTTAAGTGTATGTTTCCATCCCCTTAGTTTGCGCTAGTATAGTATTGCCACTTCTTTAACAAACTTTTTTGATTATTATCGATGGACCGATTAACTGAACAGTAATTACATTGGGCGAAAGACAGTTGCGCTGTAAAGTGCGAGAAAGGGCCCCCTGTGCCATGTGAAGCGGAACGATGTAATTAGAAGCAAAGGACAAGTGTCAGAGATAACTAAAAGATCATTGTCACAAAATAATTAGATACATGTAACAGGTTGCTACAGCCTGTTAAGGGCTATTAAGTTTTTTTATCTAGCACATTAGCAACGTCATAGCAACGGTTAGTCATAATATAACTGGTAGCATGGCCGTTCCACTTCAAAAAGAAACAGGTCAAGTCATAATTAGTATAGAGTAGATTAAGACTAGTCTAAGTATCCCTTGCTGGTAGAGGGCTTCCTGGGTTTAGGTTGGGCCTAGGCATCAGATTAGTCATTTGGTGTTTCTTGAGAGGGAACCTAGTAAGCTTCGTGGTTTCTATTAGATTACCTCGCCATTTTGTTTTCTATCCTTTAATACATAAATTTAGTTTTGTATCTTCATTGTTATCTTGTATATTAATTTTTGCAATTTATTCTACTTTTGCTTGTGTGGCAAATAAAAAAAAAATAATAATAATAATCAAAAAATAAGCATTGATGACGTCATTTACCGATTTTTCACGGTTATTCGCGCTGACTGTCAGTTTGTCGTTAAAGCTACTTTATTCACTCGCCTGTATTTTCTTGTAACCTTTTACCACTCGGAAATAAATTCATATCTTCACGCCGCCGTGTAGTATACTCTAACTCTCCCGAATTTAAGCAGCCAATCAGAATGCCTGAAAAAACACTAACCACTGATTTGGTATACACTAAAAAGACGCGGTCATTGCTTGGCTTTCCGGAGTGATTAGAAGCTTATTAACCCACGACATTCTGATGTGTATGTATGTGTGTGTAGGTGTGTTTCAAAGCTGCCAAGACTACACCTGTGATGATGTAGCTTCCAAATATCATTATTTTTAGTCCCTTACCAAAGCTCGTTCGTGCGATTTCGGTTGATCTTATTAGTGTAATTTGGTTGTGAGCACTGCTTCTTTTTTTAACAAATACACTTTCAGGGGTGCAGGAGATGAAAGCTTCCAATTACAAACTTGCAAAATTGCAAACTTGAATTAGAGAAAAGACAAAAAGAAACGAAAAAAAAAAAAACGCTAAGTTTTTCGAAGATCTGCCATCTGTGAAAAATCAACATTTAGCTTACAAGAAAACTCTGTCCATGAAAAATGTACTTATTATAGCTTAGTACAAGAAAACTCTTTCCGTTACGGTAAAAGGAGAGAATGGACTTTGGTTAGGTTTTTGTTGTAATGTTACATCGGAAGTGTCGTTTAAGTTCAATCTCTCAACCCTAACATACAAGATGGACTTTTTACAACCTCGAAGCCGGGGACTCTTATTCTCTGTTCAAGGGGCCGGTTGTAATGTCATATAACATCCCGTATACTTATTAAGTTCGTCAATTCTTGGACATAACCTTTTCGTCAGGAAATAACGTAATCGATTTTTTACAACTAAACCTTCGGTCAAAAGAAGAAGAATAACAAAAATAAGAAGCTGAGCTTCGCCTGAGTGGAGTTATCTCAACAAACCCTTTCGAGATCTTAGCAGCGGAGCGCGTATTTTATGAAAATCTTTATAAATCTAGATGAGATGGTTCGGAAGTAAATAAACCTAATTTTCACTTTGAAGACTTACCTATACCAACACTTTCAAACGATTCTTCTTATCTTGGTGAAGGTTTAATAAGCATAGAGGAATGCAAAAAAGTTTTAAACTCCTTTCCATTAAATAAGGTACCAGGAAATGAAGGACTATCAATAGAATTCTAGAAGACTTCTGGGATTTTATAGGTGATCCTTTAGTTGCAAGTTTTAATGAATCTTTTGTTAAAGGAACAATGAGTCCATCACAAAGACACTCATCAAGAAAAAAGACCAAGATTGCCGTGATCTTAAGAACTGGAGGCCAATCTCCCTACTGAACGTCGATGCGATGATAGCTTCAAAAGTTATCGCCGAAAGAATGAAGCGTCTTTTACCTGGATTAATTCACCATAATCAATCAGGATACATTCCAGGCAGAAATATTAGCAATAATATACGTTCAATTCAGGATATAATGGAATATACGAAAGTTAAGAAACTATCTGGTCTTTTATTATTTATTGATTTCAAAAAAGCCTTCGATAGCTTAGAATGGGACTTCCTCGAAAACGTTTAAAAAATTCAATTTTGGACCAGATTTTAGAAGATGGGTTCATATCTTCTACAATGACGTACAAAGTTGTGTTATAAACAGCAGCTTATGCTCTCACTACTTCCATATAAAACGTTGAGTAAGGCAAGGGGACCCCCTCTCGCCTTACCTTTTTGTCACGGCAGTAGAAATCCTAGCGATCGCTATACAAAATCAAGAAAATATTAAACGAACAACTATAGCTGGTTTAGAAACTAAATTGTTGCAATTTGCCAATGACACAACTGCTGTCCTACATGTATCAGACTTGGACTCGGCATGCACCTTGTTTGGATTGCTTGAACTTTTTGAGAAAGCATCTGGACTTAAACTAAATGTAATGAAAACAGAAGCAATGTGGATT